TAATATCTATCACACTAACTACTGATTATAGGAGCTATATACCACATGAACTGTTAAATGACTGTTATAAAAAAGCGTTTTTATTGAGGCTTGGTAGTTACATGTCCAATTGATCTGTTTATTCCTGGTATTGCGAGAAAGGTCTCGTCGGCAACAGGGCGTTGTACTCTTGGTTGAAATACAATTAATGATATTCATTTTACTGGAAACCAGATAAGGGCTAGTAAATTAAGATTTGTTAAACAATCTTACTATGATGTTAATTATGTAATATCACAAAAAATGATGATTTATAGAACGTGTATAATATTGTTAGCAGCTGATAACATCATAATAGAATACCATTATTTATTGAAATTTGAGACGGTCTTAATAAAATATGTATAATAATGGCTGGAGACGGCTTGAATGGGTAATTAAGAAAAACTTTAATATAAGTTTAACATAACAGCAAATGTACAACGTTTCGACAAGGTTTTGTCATCATCAGTCTCACCATTAGTCATCATTAGTCTCAAAGTGGGTTCCTCGTCATCGAAAATATGTATATTATTATATGAGAAGAAGATACAGTTTAAACCTCCAATGCATCGAGAACCACCTTTTTCCTTTTAACACGAGAACGAATGTTAACAGGTTATATATTGGAGTCATAAAAGCTGTTAAAATGGTTAACAGTCAAAGGTTTATCTTGAGAGTAGATATACGAATGTTTCTGTATCCTGAAATAAGCTAGTGTCAAAGGTCAGTGCTTATCGTACCTGAACTCAAGTAAGGTTGGAACACAAATAAATGATTACACAAACATCTATTAGAGAACGTTTCAACAACCATAAATCTTCTATTAATACCGAAAAGATCTCCTTGTTGCTTAACACTTTAACCAACCCGTTAACGATCGGCATTGAAACAGGATTCAAAACTAAAGCTGACAGAGAAATAAAAGAAGCTTATTGGATCGCTAATCTAAATACTGTTCAACCTTTTGGAATCAATCTAGATCCTGGAATCAGTGATCTCCGATCATTGGTTTCATCTCTATCAGAAAAATAACTTTTATTCTTTGCTTATTTCTTTCATGTAGTGTGAACCCTAATTTTTCTAAAACTTGCTATCTATTTAAGATAATTTTCCATACCTGTTTCTATAAATTAATCAGCTTAACATCGCTTTTTCAACCAGTTTCCATGTGTCACTTTTATTTTACTTAAACACTTAAGTATAGTTTTATTTATTTCTTTTTTAACCATTTCTAAAGCAAAATATCCCTAACACCTTTTTACATAACACTCTCGTTGCTGCCCACGCTGTACCGGAAATGGAACACACTTACAACAGTACATGGAAAAATTTACTAAACATTTCCTGGAAGATCAGATGATCTTCATGACGTCACTCAATTTTCTTTGTATATCACTCATTCGATTACACACCCATTGCCCCTGAAAGAAGAAAGGTCCACCTTTCGAAAGCGCTGGGGTTATAGGATTTTTATAATTTTGTATCAAGACTTCTTGAACCTACATGTCTTTCTGACATCATAAGTAAATGACTACTGTTATTCAAATAAATGAACTAGAATACGTTCTGACTTCTAGCCTATCACAAACAGTTATGTACATATAAGTGGGGCAGCCAGGGCATCTGTCCCAGGAAACTGCTTCACCTATCTTAGTCCCAAATCCTGATAGGCCCACTTGTGAGGAGAGATTTATAAAACTAGCACTTTCTTTGTACTTAGGAATATGTCTGATAATATTCAGCCCCAATTCACATAGGCCCATGTGTATATCTATGCTACAGTTTAATTCCTTTTTTTTAACTTGTTATACGTAACTTTAGAGGGGCTGGGTTTTGATGGTGTGGAGGAGGCAGAATTCATGCACCGGAGCCCTCATTTACCTATCTACGTCGCTGCTCACAACCTTACTCAGGTTTTCTACGCTTAACCAGGCATACAGTTCCTATATACAGACACACACACGTCAGGACTAAATAAAACAAAAGCAAAGTTAAACATATCAGATGCAGGGTTTTGATTCCGGAAACAGGATCTTCACGACTGAGACTAGTACAGAAGATTCCGGGTTGATATGATAAGGCTCCCTATGACTATTTTGTTGTACTTATTCACGCTTGTGTGACTCGAAATGTGTCGTGATTCTTTAAGGCCGTCTTTGAATGTCCTGTAATTAGGTACTGAATGAAAAGGTTCACTGCGTTCAATTAAACCAGTAGAAAGAGTCTCAGTTAACTTAAAACTTCCTACACTTTTATTGCATTAAATAATTCATAAGGTTCCTTCATATTCATCGTTAACGCTATAAAAATCATGCAGTGGAAAAGAGTAAATCGTTCTCCATCACGGAAATAAACGCAGTGAAATCCATCAAAATACAAGCTCACTTTTCTTATAGAGCTTTTAGAGATAAGAATATACAATATAACGTACAGCTTCATAAAAGAGAAAAATTTATCTTTACAAGACATAATTTTCAACAGTTATCAATTGAAAAACACCGAATGTGCCCACTTTGAAAATAAGTATCCATGATGTCCATAAAACATGTGACTAAAAAAAAAAAAACAGAAAATGTTATGAAATCATGTGGTTTTCGCTCACATTTTTCTCATTACTTAATTTAAAAGAAAACAATGGATCTAGACCCAGATATTGTGTAGAATATGAAACACAAATGAACGATATTTTCCGTTGACACTATACATATTTCGGATATAGAGATCTTTTGAACAAAATGCTCAAGATAAATTCAAGCCTAATGTTTATAAAACTATTTCAGAAAATAACCATCCAAACCGGAATAAAAACAGAAGAAAAAAGGTTGCGTACGTAAGCTTATGTCAAAACAGCTCAAATCGAATAGAAATTATACAAATTCTGTTTGATATACAAACCTTTATATCACATTTGTGTTTCATTTTTGACTAGATACTTTTAGTATATTTGCCCATTAGCTTAATGACTCATATCACATGTGATTAATTTTAAAATCGTATTTCACTACGAGTGTAAAACTTATGAACAAAAACTCAACGGTGCAAACAACATAAATTTTTGCCCAAAGCCACTTTATAGAAATTGTTGCCTAATAACACTTTCAGAAATTGTTACCTAAAGACACTCTTGTAGAAACTGTTTCCTAATACCACTTTTAGAAATTGTTGTCCAAAACCACTTTGTAGAAATTGTTGCCTTAAACTAGTATATGAAAATTGATGCCTAAAACCATTTTATAGAAATTGTTGCCCAAAGTCACTTTGTATAAGTTGTGGCCTAAAACCATTTTATTGAAATTGTTGTAAATTTTAACTACTCATCTTACCTTCAACACAGAATAAAGTTGATAGAACTCCTAGCAAAAGACCTTGAAACATCTTTCTTCTGCCAACAATGGCGTTGGAACTCTTTAAACAAATACAGAGAAGCATTAGCAAGAAAAATTCGTTTAAATAAACACACATTTGAATTAAAAACTGATTCTATGTAACTAATATATTATCAGTGCAATTGTATAGACATATATTAAGTTATATGTGAAATTTACATAATATGGTTCACCACTTCCTCTAACTAGGAGTTTCATGATACAAGGTTAAAAATGATGTCTTAAAGTTTTCTTAAATCCTTTTTGTTTGATGCAGCTCTGTTTATTTCATTCTTGAATTGCTTAACGTAGTTTTATGAAAACTGATACTTGAGAGGAGATATCGGTAATTACACCCTAAGACTTGAAACATAATAAAAACACCAAAATATATTTTATATGAACGTTGAGGATTAGAGCATTTTATAAAAACTATATTCCAAATTCCCTGTTGCCGTTGGAACTACTTCCTCCAATGACAATCATTTTTGTGCTGATGACCATGATTATTCACCTTTGTCCAACGCTTGAATTTCCACTGAAACAAGCTTCTCTGATGAATGGTGAGTCAATCTTAGATCATAGTACCATAGTTTTGACAAACCTTCCACAGACCTTGGATGTCGACTTCAAGGACCACATTTATGCAGATCAAATGCATTAAAGTTTATTAGAGCTACATCGGGTAAAATTGACAGGTAATGTAGTCGAATGAGATTTCTGTGATTTCGTTTGTTTAACAACCTTTTTCATGAAAACAGCTTTAGGTTTGGCTATTTCGGTTTGTAAGAGCGTTATTCCAGATAGGATTGAATGTAGTTTATAGTCTATTTCTGTCCCCAAAGTGCTGCTGTTCGAGTTTTTACACTTTCACAGACAACCCAGGGAGTAAGAACCTCTTTCGAAATGTTGTGTCTTCTGGCTTCACATCGATGTTAATTTTACTTTATGAATACTTCTTTACAGAAAGGAATTTCTTATATCCATCCAGCAACAAGTTATTCCTAATTGCATTGCACTAACGAAAGGTGAGGAATTCGACGTTAACCAAGTATAAAGGAGCTTGAAATGTCGCACGTGGCCACGCGCTACTGTATTAGTATATACAATCGTTCAGATATAGTGTGATTATCCATATATATTGAAAAAACAAAACAAAGTTTGCTTCGCTATACTAAAATAACCTTTAAACTAAAAATAAACGTTCTCATTTTCTCCTGAAAGGTTCATTTTAATTAATAAAATGTGAAATTAATATTGTTATTAAAATCACAATTTTTATTGCTTATAAAAATTGTGCCAATGGACGGTAAAAAGTTAACAAATGAAATAAAAACGAAACACTAGTTTGAATCTCAAGTTAATTGCGTTATCAACACAGAAAACTATATTCAGATTTTTCTGAATTCTGGCATCATTAAATGTATTTATAAATAATTGTTTTATATTTTAAAGCTTACCCGGTGGCTCAGCGGCAAGCTTGACGGCTTATAACGCTAAAATTCGAGTTTCCATCCCAGCAATGGGCGCAGCATAGATAGCCCATTGTGTAGCTTTGGGCTTAAGAACAAACAAAGATTATATTTCAAGACTATAATTATGTCCTTTAAATTGTTATTAACAGAATGCCTCGAGACGCTAGGAACATTTAAATCAGTACTCGTTTTTATTTTACTTTATTTTTTTTTACAGTCCATTGGAGCAATTTTTATAAGTAACAAAAAAAGTCAATAGGCCTTTGTTGTGAAGATGTTGTTGCAAGCTAACAAAACGTTTATAACACTTATATTTTCTACTTTGTGTTGTTTTAAATAATTGAATATGATGTCTTAATAGGGGTAATTTTCCAGTGCTAACTAATCATCAATGCATGAATGCTTTAATATGTTTTATGTTTCGTTTATGATGATACAAAACGCTGACACGTCTGTAACTTAATTTAAAATATTCTTCGTTGTTTGCAGTAATATGCTGCTTAACAAGGAAAACTACATAATTACATGTGGCCAATATTTTGCGCTTCTCCGAATAAGCAAGTTTCTGGACGTTGTTAAGAGCATTAGAAATCTAAAGAGAAGCGAAAAAAGAAATGCTCAAAGTAAAGGTCAACAACCGAGAATCACGAACATTCCAGATTTTATTTCTAGCACGAAGGCAAAATGTACATAAGATTAGAAAATAAACTCGGTATTTTTCTTATCAACCTCAAAATAATTACATGCTTTTAAGAAATTATCTTCCTCCGTTTATGTTTATCAAATAAATCTTCTATTCTTACTCTGCATTAAAAAGTTAGAGGGGACACTCTGTAGAGCGCATTGCCTCCACCACGTAGCGTTGATCAAGTTTGGCTCTCAAAAAATAAGAAAATGTGCCTGTGTGTCCGTCGTTATCAACGGACACGGACCATTTTTGGCTGGACAAATCTGGAATAACATTCTGTATATGTCCACCAAGTTTAATCAAAATCCAATCATTTTTGTCTGAGCTATAGAACAAAAATTGTGGGAAAAATCGGTTCCCATATTAACCGAGAGGGATTTTTGGAATTTTGTTACCTTGCTGTGACCTTTAACTTTGACCTTGACCCTTCACAACTAATCACTTTTTAGTTGGTTCATAGTCCAAATGTATACCAGCTTTCGTTCAAACTCGTTAAGCCGTTTTCGAGAAATATTGCTTACAAACACACACAGGGGTGAAAGCATAACCTCTGTTCATCCTCGGTGGCGGAGGTAAAAATCTAAAAACAGAAAAATAGACATATTTTCTTTACTTGTCCATGCGTACGAACATGGTGTACAACATAAAGTGTACACACAGTTTAATGAGAAAAAAAAAAGAATTTTCATGCATATGCATCTTTATGTTTCCAAGTGATGCTACAAATTATTCTCCGCCCTTAAAACTATGGGTATGTTATAAGGGTAACAGTCAATCCTTTAGCTAGGATGGTAAGTTACTGTTGACTGGCTCTCTTCATTCTGGTAGTTCGAAATTAGGGACGGTGGCAGATAGCTCCTCAGTAGCTTTGCCATAAACACAGACAACAAATACAAAAGTGTAACTATCGAAAGAAGAACAGAGTTTTTGTGGTCTTTCATCTTAGCAGGATGTTGTGTTGTATTCGATTTGTAGAACTTCCACTATCTCTTTAACAATGGAATTTGAAAATACATTAACATCTCATCAAAGCTAGACATTATAAGGTTACGATAGTAATTTAACCTAGAAAATAATGTTCATTAAATATTAATATAAAGTGACAGTAAAGACATTTGAAAGAAGATCGGGAGATTTATTACACTAAGATACGATTCTAAAACACACCTTTAGTACACGGTGCATAGGCTTTTAGAAGTGTTCACAGTAAGAACTTTGTTAACAAAAGTTTTATCAGGGTAACGTTTGTTGTTGATCTTGATTCGATAGCTAGACCAGCTTTTTTCGTGTTTTATTTTATTTTTTTATTTACAGACTGACAATATAAGCTCGAAATACTATTCTCCTGCTAAACTTGTGTATCAAATTATTGGTCTTTATAACATGACCCCCCCCCCAAGAGGCACAGCAGCAT